TAACATATATATTGTTATTTATATATGCCTATTGATACGACTCCCAAAATATAAGGTATTGAATATGGGATTGTTACTTTTTGGAAATATTCCTCAGATTTTCAATTTTCCAACCGAAGTTAATGCAGTTTGGTTTTTAAGGAGTATCTAAGCAGTTACATATATTCTTATGACAGATGTTCTCTTTGAAGCATTATAAGTACAAAGTATTTGAATTTATCTCACGTTGAAGTTTCATATATTTCTCATATGGATCAGTCGTTGGTGCTGCCAATATTAAACGATCGCCAACGGCTGAGAGCTGTTTCAAGTCTCTAAGCATTAGGACAAATACACCGCCGTAATATTCAGTACTTTTGAAAATTTGTTTTATTCTTGCATTAAGATAGAAAGCATCTTTGCTCCCACCATTGATATTTCGTCAATAATCGATAACCTTAAATGCATACGGACCTAATGGTCTCAACTGTGATTTTGATTGAGAATACTGATTGTTATATGGCATCGCCAATACCAAATGCAACCCTTCCTGTAAGTACTGACACTTTAATCGGAAATCGGATCTGACCCTGGGATACTATCCAGCCATCTATTAACAGTTTGATAAATAACCGATATTAGTCTATATTTTCCAACACCAACATCTTCACTAACAAATTGATAGAATAATTATCGTCATCCACATATTGGTTCACTTTTTTGGCCAAGTTTTTTAAGCGAATCTTCCAATAGCATCATAAGGACCTAATTAATGGTCGAACTTGACTGATTAAAGGGAAGTGAGAATACTGAATGTAATATGACACTGCCACTTCCAAATGCTGCTCTTCCTGTAAGCGCTGCTAACAGTTTGATAAACAGCCGATATTAGTTTAATTTTTGGACAGGATTTTTAACCGATTCTTCCTACCAACATTTACCATAGCAATATGACCTAATGGTCTCTACTCTGAATTAACGGAAAAAGAGAATACTGATTGTAATGTGGAACCACCAAAACCAGTAGGTGCTATTATTGTCACTTTAATTGGAGTCGGATCAGACCCTAGGATTCTATTCAGCCATCTATTAACATATTAGTCTACTTTTTCCAACACCAGTACCTCCACTAAAAAAAATCATAGAATACTCATACACATCCACATATCGTTTCACTTCACACAAAATTTATCATAGCATCAGGACCTAATAGTATCAACACTGAATTGGACTGATTAGTGGCAAGAGAGAATATTGAATGTAATTTGGTACCTTCAATACCAAAAGCAGCTTTTGCTGTAGATGCTGTTATACCACTTTAATTTTAAGTCGGATCAGACCTTGGGAAATACATCCTTCTATTAACAGCTGATATTAGAATACTTTTTCCAACACCAGCAGGTTTTCAGTGCCGAAAGCTGATTTTGCTGTAAATGTCGACTTTTCAAGATCGACTTTTGATTTTCTTCATAACTTCTTGGTTTATCACAAATCCGAATTTGTCCAAAAATTACACATTCCAGACCTTTTTTCATCTGTTGACAACAATTCTTATAAAAAATTGAATTTTTAGTCGATTTTCCTTTAGTTGTAAAAGTCGAAAATCGATTTTGAACAGATTTGACAAAATCGAAAGATCGAAAAGTTGAGTTTTTGGTCAGAGGCAAAAATCGAAAAATCTAAAAGTCGACTTTTGTGCTCGACTACGTATACCTAGCCGATATTAGTCTACTTTTTCCAACATCAGCACCTCATCTAACGAATTGATAAAATACTTATTCACATATCGGTCCACATTTTGGGAACGTTTTTTAACCAAATCTTCATAACAAAATTTAGGAGCTAATGGTCCGGACTTGACTGATTGAATGTAATATGGCCCTACCAATACCAAAAACAGATTTTCCTGTATGTGATGTTAATAGCTCATTAATTGAAGTCGGATCAGACCCTCTGATACTATTAGCTTTCTATTAACAGCTTCATAAATAGCCGATATTAGTCTACATTTTCCAACACCAGCACTTCCACTAACAAATTCATAGACTACTGATTCACATCCACATATCGGTTCACTCTTTTGGGCAGGGAAGAAGAATACTGAATGTAATATGGCACGGACAATAAGAAATTCAGCTCTTCCTGCAAATGGCACAAATCAACCTAACAAAAAGTGCCATACAATCAGGAACTAATGGTCTCAAGTCCGGACTTGACTGATTAAATGTAATATGGCCCCACCAATACCAAAAGCATATTTTCCTGTAGGTGATGCTCAATAATTGAAGTCCAATCAGACCATGGAATATTAGTCGGCTTTATATTAACAGTTTCATAAATAGCCGATATTAGTTTATTTTTCCAACACCTCCAGTGACAAATTCAAAGAATGCAGATCCACTTTTTTTGGGCACGTTTTTTAATCTTCATACAAAATTTTACCATAGTTCTGTAGGTACTGGTCTCAACTGCAGGAGAATAATAAATGTAATATGGCCCCACCAATACCAAAAGGATCTTTTCCTGTAGATGCTATGAATAGCTCATAAATTGAAGTCAGACCAGGCCCTGTGAAACTATTAAGCCTTCTATTAATAGGTTGATAAATAGCCGATAAGAGTCTACTATTTCCAACATCAGCATCTCCACTTACAAATTCATAGAATTCCGATTTACATCCAGATATCGGTCCACCTTTTGAGCACATTCTGAACCGAATCTTTCTACCAAAAGTTACCATAGCATCAGGTTACCAAATGATCTCAACTCCGAACTTGATTCATTAACGGGAAGAGAGAATACTGAATGCAATTTGGCACGGACAATACGAAATACATATCTTCCTGTAGGTGCTGTTAATGGCACAATTATTGAAGTTGGATCAGACCCTGGTATACTATTCAGCTTTCTATTAACAGTTTGATAAATAGCCGACATTAGCCTACAATTTCCAACACCAGCACTTTCACTAACAAATTCATAGAATACAGATCCACATATCTGTTCACTTTTTTGGACACGTTTTTTAATCTTCCTGCGAACATTTACAATATTTCAGGACCTACTGGTCTTAACTGCGAATTTGACTGATTAAAGGGAAGAGAGAATACTAAATGTAATATGGCATCGCCAATACCAAATGCAAATCTTCCTATAGGTGGTGTTAATGTAAATTTAATTGAAATCGGATCAGACCCTGGGATACCATTCAGGATTCTATTAACAGTTTGCCGATATTAGTCTACTTTTTCCAACAAATTAATAGAATACTGATCCACATATCGGTCCACTTTTTGGTCACATTTTTAATCTTCCTACCAAAATTTACCATAGCATCAGGACCTAATGGTCTCAACTCCGGACTTGACTGATTAACGGGAAGAGAGAGTACTAAATGTAATAAGGCATCGACAATACAAAATACAACTCTTCCTATAGATGCTGTTAATGAAAATTTAATTGAAGTCGCATCAGACCCTGGGGTATTATTCAGCCTTCTATTAACAGTTTGATAAATAGCCGATATTAGTTTACTTTTTCCAACAACACCACTAACCTTCCTACCAAAATTTACCATTGCATCAGGACTTATTGTTCTCAACTCCTGACTTGACTGATTTGCGGGAAAATAGAATATTGAATGTAATATGGAAGTCGAATCAGACCCTGGTGTGGGTGTTGGAGAAGGCGAAGGAAAATCCAAATACCCCGAAGCTTCTAGACTGGAAGAACCTGTTATAACCGGTAAAGGTGGAGTAAGTAGTGTTACATCTCTTCCCCGCTGACGTTCACGCTCTCGCTCACGTTCTCTTTCACGATTACGTTCTTGTTCTGCTCTCTCAGATCCTGGGATACTATTCAGCCGTCTATTAACAGTTTGATAAATAACCGATATTAGTGTTCTTTTTGCGATCGTTTAACACTTTTACGTTGGTTCTGCTTTGCTTTTTTGACCTAGTAGCTTTGTTGAGTACATGCTTCTTCTTCGGATTGTCATAAACTTCTTTTAACGCCCCTCAATGAATTCAAACACGTGCTCTAAATCTATTTCTGGATCCTCAAATTAGCCATAATTCGGATTATTCTATTATGGAAGATAGTTTTTTGTCAGTGACAATACATTTACCGATTCATCCTCTTGGGAGTATAACACCATAGCCTTGTGTAAGCTTCAGGTTAAAATACTTGTTCGCCGCAATCATAGCGACGTATTGAAGTCGTTGGCTGGATCTCCTTGAGCATAATTTCAGTTTTTGCATCGATTGTATTAGGGACTTCGCTTTTTAAGCCGATAATTTCTCCTGATGTTAATGTTCAGACCCACTTTATTTGAAAGCGTTTTTTTTCCTCCAAAACTTTTATTTAAATTATTCGAAAAAAAAAACAAAAATTATCAATCTAATACGTCAGGAAGGTCTTTTACATTTTACCGACGGCAATCGTTATAAGGACACATTTTGACATTTACAGAAGGTATATAGTAGAATATGTTTGATTTCAAATGAATTCTTATCTTATATTTTGAAGTGTAATGAACATAGACATATCTCTACTATCATAATCAATTTATTTTATAAGTATCCGTCAGTTATTTTCGAAGTTATGGCCACCAGAAGAGAGTTACCGAAAGTTGTTCTGACATTTTTAGTGAACTATATTCACTTGACCATCACTCTGGTAGTTCGGGGAAAAAATCAACATACGATACACCATTGTAAAGGTAGAAGATTCAGGTTCGAAGATAATCTCAAATTTAGTCCAGATAATGCGAACAGATATTAAGAAATCGGAGCTTCCCAGTGTAAAAAATCCCACTTCCATACAATATGTTTGCAAAGGTGGGGAGGTAGTCCTCTTGAATTCGCATATAGAATACAACGACAAATTTGAGGTCCACCTTAAACCTTTCCACTTAGCTTCAGATACAAATTATATTGCTAAGATCAGATTTAACTTCATTTTTCATATAACCCATGCTTCATGAGGCACTCAGTGTAATAAAATAAACAGTTTAAACTCACCCTTTCTTCTTCTCGGATCATTTCAGCTATTCCCGGTTTTATTTCCAGATCATCGGCTAGCGATGGGCCATGATGTCGTGGTCCTTCTGATGGACCTGATGAACGCATTGCCCCACTTAAATCTCCCAGCATGGCTGCAGCGGCGGCCTGGGCGGAACCCAGAGTAGAGAAACGTTCCGTTTCCAGACGACTACTCCCCGGACCAGTAACACTGGTCGGTGAGGGTGTTAGAGGTCTACTTAAAATACTGGACGGGTGTGTTGAGGTTACTGAAGAGGCGGGTGAAGAACGATGAGATTGTAGGCCACCTCCAATACCAGCTGATGAGTGCTGTTGTTGTTGCTGCTGCTGTTGTTGGCTAGATTGTTGACCCTGCTGCTGTTGTTGTTGATGCTGCTGCTGTTGCGCATGATGGTGATGCGATAATTGTAAATGCGGTGAGGCTGAGGAAGCTAATAGCGATGAATGTGTCCGAGATGGTGGTAGAAGACTAGGTGTGGGTGTTGGAGAAGGCGAGGGAAAATCCAAATGCCCCGAAGCTTCTAGACTGGAAGAACCTGTTATAACCGGCAAGGGTGGGGTAAATAGGGTTACATTTCTTTCCCGCTGGCGTTCACGCTCTCGCTCACGTTCTCTTTCACGATTACGTTCTTGTTCTGCCCTCTCAGCAGCTATAAGACTACCCAAAGGACTTTCGGGAGGATTAAATACCGTATCCGCCGAGGGCCATCTACGTTTTCGTACATTACGAGCTATCAGCGGAGGTGAGAGTCGCAATTCCAGACCAGATCTACCAGACGTTGTGGGCAAATCCCAGGACTCTAATCTTGAACGAGATTTTTCGGCATCCAAGGGCGCCAGCAAATCCATATCACTGTCCGCAGGTTCATTTGGTTCTGGCGAACGTCTACTGGCCGGCCTTTTGCCGAACGGTGAAAGACTTTTCTTGCGTATTTTCGGCGATAGATGAGGTGGGGAGTAGAGTTCCTTATCCGAATTACTTGCTTGATCTGCCTTTGTACTACTGTGTTGGGCGGGTTCGCTGGCTGTACTTATGTGACCCACATCGGCCAGGCCACGTACCTTCAACATCTCAGCAATCCTCAGTAGGGGACCTATTTGATCCTGACTAACATTGATCTCACCCTTGTACATAAAATCCACAATGGCCTTGAGTTCGGGCCAATTAACATCACGCATTATGACAATGGGATGTTGGCAAGGTGTGGTCGAGAGCAGGGTTTGGAAATAGGGAGAACATGCGGATAGTACCATTTTATGGGCCTTTATGGAACGTCCATCACAAGCCAGGGTGACATCGACAAATGCCTCCGTTTGCAGCAGTTGATCAAAGACACTGGTCAAATTGCTTTGATAGTTATTCCAACGTAAGCAAAATTGCTGTTGCTGCTGCGAAGATCCATTTGCGGAATTCGATCCGGTGGAGGAACGTTCTGAGTGTGGTGAATATGCTGCTTCCACGGCCAGGCCACTGGAACGCTGCGCCGTTGTTGCTTGTTCAGTTGGTTCACATGAATAGCGGGGCGATGGTTTGTGTTCGCCTTCTGCCGGCTGTTTCATTGGTTCCATTGTGGGGGAATTACAACGTTTCGGGCTTCCAGATAGACTGTGAATCATAGAACCGGATCTTGAACCCCTGCTAGTTGTCTGAGGTGAATGTTGTTGTTTGGCCATTGCGGTTTTAGTGGAGGCTTCCAAAAGTTCCCGAAATGTTTGAACATTATCTGTGGTGGTACCGGTGGCGGCGGAAGCTGGGGATGTGCCTTGGGGATTATTGGAGGAGGAGGACAATGCTTCGGCTTGCTGTTGTTGCGTTGCCTGATGTAGAGGACTTTTGGAATCCATTATGTTAATGAAGCCATATAGTTTTGTTGTTGTTATAATTAATTTTTTGTTTGCATTAACATTGTTATTTTGGGAATTATGAGACAATATGGCAACACTGTTTTTTCGGGAGTAGTTTATCTTTGAGTTGTTAAAACAATGGATAAAATCCTTTTAGAGTTGGTTTTTAAATTGCATTTTAATTTATTTAGTTTTCTTTTGTATTGCGTGAATATAAAAACCATATGGCAACACTGCATTCAATAATTGCAATTCTCCTGTATAACTTTTGTTCGAATTGAATTTATTTCAGTAGATTTTTGTAGCTTTTTAAAGTTATTTTGTAGTTGCCTCCTCTAGATTTTCGTAAAAATCAATCAATGTGGCATCACTGTTTTTTTTAGAATTTCGATTTTTTTCTAAATTGTTGTCATTTGTGTCAATGAAGTCATTATCATGGTTCAATAAATATTTTAGAAGTTCCATCAATCATAATCTCATCACTTTGATTTTGAGGAAAACAATACGGCAACACTGTTTTTGGAATATTATTATTTTCTTCTTCACGTTCTCTGCCTTTATATTTGTTTTATACTTATATCAGTTTTTTTTTCAAGAGTAATACGTAACAATTACTTGATGAACTGATCGGGTTACAAACAACAATCTGGCAACACTATTTATTTGCAAAGAATTTTATTGGGATCATAAATCCCTCTGTGTATTTAAATTTAATAAAAAATATATTTAGTTGTTACTTTGTGGAACATCTGATTATGATTTTACTGTTGAAGAAAACTGATGTGGCAACACTGTTTTTGTAGTTTTTGAAATTATTATTTTGCAGCTTATTTAAATATTTGTTGGAGTTATTTCTAATGCCGCTGATAGTATTATATGTTTGGTTGTTTGTATTCTAAAAAGAAATACAATATGGCAACACTGTTAAATATATATTTTTTTTAATTTAGACGGAAACTTCGTTTTATTTTTAAATTCATGTCAAGTCATTGTTATGTTGGAGTTTTTTAATTAATTTAATTTTAAGTATTGAAGAAGTAATATGGCAACACTGTTATTTTTACTTTGGGATTATTTATGTCATATTAGTCATTCAATTATTTTTATTTATAATTGCATTTAATTGTAATTAGTGACCGATTTGTGACTTTAAAAATAATAATGTGGCAACACTGTTTTTGGAATATAATAAATTAATAATCCTGTGTAGCCATTCGATTAAATATAATTTAATAAAATAATTTAATCTAAATTACACTTTTTTTGTTTGCAAAGAAAAAACAATATGGCAATACTGTTTACAAAAATGTCATAGAGAATATGGAAAACAATACAACCTATATATTTTGAAGTTTAATTTCTCAAAAATTAAAATTGATGTAAAGACTCGATTTTTTATTTCTAACCAAAAACTGTATGGCAACACTGTTTTTGTCTGATGTTATTGCAAGCATATATTTTTTCCTTATTTTTTCATTAACATTTTTCTTAGTTACATTATTCCAAATAACATGATTAAATATAGAACGATATGGCAACACTGTTTTACGAAGTTAAAGATCTATTGTTCTAATACAATATACCTGTATATTTGTTAAAAAATTACATTTGATTAAATTTAAGTAAATTTTGATTGAAAAAATTTAAATATTAATTAAGAAAACAATATGGCAACGCTATTTTAGGATTATAATACATCATTTCAATACATGCCATTAAATAAGATAATTTTTTGTAAACCTTTTGTAAGCCCTAAATAAATTTATTTTTTTTTTCAAAACCAATATGGCAACACTGTATTTTTAAATTTACATGTATCTTTAAAATTTTGCTGCCACTGCATTATTTTTTTTTAAAATTATTAAGGTTCATTTTAAATTGCATGTAAAAAAGAACGATACGGCAACACAGCAAATTGAAAAAAATGTTTTATTCCAAATATGTTATGCTAGTGCTGCCATATTTTGACTCTCAAAGTTAAGAGATTTAAAGTCAACAATATGGCACGACTATTTATTTCTGGTTTACAATACTCTCTTTCTTTTTACTATTTTTGCATACATGATCCGTTAATTTTCATTAAAGTCCTCGAAGTTTTTAACAATATGGCAGCAATATTTATTTTAAAATCCTAATAAGTCATGATAAGTTTCATCATAATATGTTAATACTATTTATTTTTTATAATTATTATTTTATTTATTGTCTTATAACATTTTTGAAACATAAATTTTTTTTAAAATAGTTTTACTGTCTCAAACTATAAATTTTATTATTATTTCTTTTTTTAATTTTGTTAATCAGTTACATGTATTTTGTATTTTCAAACAATATGGCAACACTGTTTTTACTGTCTCAAACTATAAATTTAATTATGATTTTTTTTAACTTAGTTAATTACAGTTAATTGTTTTGTATTTTAAAAAGCATATGGCAACACTGTTTTTAAGATTTTGAAAAATTTGCAGCACTACAGTTAATTAACATTTCGTAGAAATAATTATTTTTTATTATTTATTTTTTTTTAACAAAAATTACTCACAATTTCACTATTTCATGGTTAATCACGACAATACGGCAACTCTTTTTAATTTGGGTTTCTGTATTTTTTCATAATTTTATTTTTTTAATTTATTTTTCTCGTTTATTTTATTTTTCATTTATTATTTAAAAAAACCATACGGCAACTCTCACAAAATGAATTTCGTTTCCTTTTTATTCGCTTCTCTTCTTTTTTTATTTGTTTTTATTACTCTTGACACGATTACCAATTAACCGAAAATTGATAGCTTCATTTGTGACGAACTTGTTGTATTGGTATTGGTGTTGATGGATGGCTGCATGTCTGGATATTTAAACTCGCGGTTATTTTATTTTTTGTCCGATTTTTTTTCGCGCGCGTAAAAAACTCTTCTCTCATCTCTTTATTTTGGGTTTCTGTTGCATTGACATCCAATAACAACAACAGCACACTGTGATGTGCACAAATGTAACGGTAACTTCATTTATACAGCTCATCTGTGTTAGTGAGATTGTCTTCCGGCAGAGATCGTACCATTGTTACGAAACGAATGCTCTTCGTATTACGTTAACGGTGAGTGAGCAAGCGAACGAACGAACGAAGGAGCTCTCGGAGTATGTGTGAGTTAAGTTGCCGGCAAATTGAACCACCCACCGCCCTACCACCTACTCCCTAACACTTCACAGAGAACAGCAAGAAAGAGTGCACAACGTAAAACTGTGAACGTGAGCCGTTATTATTAATTTCTCTCTGTGATACTGTGTGTGTTTGTGTACGAAAAATAGCCACAAATTCTTTACTAGACGTTAATAAATTATTACGCTATACGTTACGCGGTTTACGAAAATGTTTTACGCCGTCAGTCTTTTGTGCCAATGTGATGTGAGTCAGTGTGTATGTGTGTGTGCGCGTCTGTGTCGATGTCGTTCCCTGTTGTGTCACGTTGTTGTGTTTTTGAAAACGCAAAAAGTCTTCTCAGCACGACCGTCTGATTTAGACTGAAACTGTTTCGCACATTTTAATACGGAAAACTCAAAACAAACTTAAAACTGTGTGTTGGACAAAACACCGACACACATATGCACACACACGCACGCACACATAGCCATACAGAGAAGTTTGCAAAACACACACAAATGGCTGGCAATACCGTTGAAATGTGTGTTGCCTACCAGTCAGCCAGCCAGCCAACCAGCCTTGCCTTGAAAGTGTCTGTGAGTAGGGAAAACTCTCGACGACGACGACTACTACTACTACAGCAACAACACCACCAACGACGACGATGATGATGACGACGACAACAACAACGAAAACTAACAGCCAAAGTGTAAGCACAATGCCATTGCACACACAGCCAAGCAGGCAGGCAGGCATGCCGGCCAAGTCAAGCAAACGAATGGCCAGCAACAACAACACAACAATGACGATGACGACGACAACGATGACTACACGACAATGCCAAGGCATTGCCTCCTCGCAAAGAGAAGGCATCGGCCAGAGCACAGCCAGTCAGCCAGCCAGTGTGTTGTATGGAGGAACGTTCGTTGAGAACATGTTGAAGGAATCCCGACAGAGAAGGCACCACAAAGCTCTTAGCTAAGCAATTGCGAAAAAACACAGACGCAAAAAATTCTTCTGCCACACTTTGCGCTAAAAGTGATGTTGTTGTTTTGTTGTTGCTGTCGCACGATAGGGAAATGCATTTTGGTTGCAGTTGCTGCTAAGTTGCAACGGAGAAGCGCGCGCGAAACTAACTAAAATTTAATGACGCGAATGCGCCGTTTAGAACAGCGTCGTTGTTGTTGGCAGTTGCTGTTCATAGGCTCGTCTAAGGCTGTTTCCTTGCACACACACACACACACTTGGAGAATGTGTACATGTTGAGCCGATACTCAAACACCTGACTGATACAGACACACTCAGCCACAACAACAACATTGCCAGTCAGTGGCTACAACAATGGCCAAGTTCAGAGGCCCATTGCAAACGAAAGAATAGCAACAACAAAACAAAAAAACCAAAACTTCGCGCGCGCTTTAATAGAATTGTTGCTGAGTGTGTGTGTGTGTGTTAACAACAGAAAACTCAGAGACTTGAGTCTCATTGGAAAGACTCACGACATTATTTTGTTCGTTGACGAGAAGAGCATCGTCACCAAAACTTGCACTTGCATTTTAGTTAGAAGAAGAAGAAAAAAAAAACTACCGGGACACATACTCTCTCACACATGCACTAACCTATGAAACTGACCAGTTGGTTTTTTTGGCGCAGATATCGCCTTCAAAATTGCGTCCAACAACAACACTGGTAAGTTCAATATAACAATAACAACATTGTTTACAACAACTACAACCCTCGTCATCATCAAATCGCCATAACTTGTCTAGATGTCAATACTGGCGAACTAAAAAGAAATGCAAGTATTTTGTACGTGCTCTTCTTCTAACGCAAAAGAGGCCCACCAAGGCGGCACAGTGGT